ATAATTCATTGGCACTTGATACGCAATTTAAAAAGTTGATATAAAGAAATGTAAATAATTAATAAGTGGGTCACTGTCACTGCCTCGGTGGCACCTTCAATCACTCGTCACTCGTCGTGCATTCAGAATAATTTGATGATAATTAGATAAGGGCGAGTGACACTTGCAGCAATGAGAGATGACGGCTGACCTACGATTTGTTACGAGAAAATATTTCTGGAGAGTGAAAGTCCATGGGCATTCGCAGTTATAATTAAAAATACTAGAAAAAATACTAGAACATAATGTATACAATTGAATTGTCTATTTTTCCCTTTAAAAATCCATTTCCATTCCATTTAATCTATTTTCACTGGAAATCTGAGAATCAACGGCAAAATATTCTAGACTAACATGAAATTAATGTTTTCTTTTGACCCCAGGGTCTATCCTGATTTGAGTTTAATTACTGATCCAGTGATTAATGACTTTTTAAATTACCGCAAGTAATTGCGCCGATTTCTTTAGGATTTTCTGCTGCTGGAATATTTTCTGCAAGTGCTCCCGTGAATTTGTTGGGTTGAAAAAACGGGACTTGATGATTGTCTCGGAATTAACGAGGCAGAAGTACCCAACAATGAGATTATTTACTCGCGTTAATTGTCACAGAATTACCGTTAATTTCGGGGGCTTGTGCCTCGGAGTTTGTGAAAAAATAGATTGTAATAGTAACGGATTAAACCGACGATAATCATCAGTAAAAACCGTACCAAAGCATTACCTCATTGCAAATAAATAATAAATAATGAAAATACATACAAAAATAAAAATCAATACACAATTTTTTATTTAGCTCTCCGTCTTTTTGCAGAGCGAGACCGATAATTGGAGCTAAACCAAATTAATTCATTCTAGTTTATAAATTAATTATCGAGTGTGTTTAATTATCCGGATATAATACACAATAAATAATAAATAATGAATTAGGTACTTTATTTATAATGTTTGAACAAAGAGGTTGCCATGACAAATATTCAGTGACTCATTCGAAAATACCGTTGGATTTTTTTTACCTCTGCATCTCCAACTCTCCATCTCCGTAATTTCCTGTACTCACATTATTATTGAAAACCGGCTTACATTACAACTACATTTACGCAGCTTGAACCAGTGAAAATTATCCGAGTCCATGACTCACCGGCAATTTAATATAAAAAAAACAAGAAATAGTTTAAAGTTATCGCTTTTAACTATCAATTTTATTCAAATACTTTTACACACGTCGTCATTACATTTTTCTTTTTGCACGCATGATGACTGTACGTTACGTATTTAATACCGTGTAAACTGAATAAAATTCCTGTTTTGGATACTTAGGATGTCCATAAGGAAATTATTAATTCTAATTCTCTCTGGCGTGTTAGCACGTGAGAAAGATGTCAATAATCCATTTTTAGTGACGACAGAAGGCCCTCAAGTGCATTCCACGTGAATGCAATGACACTTTCACGTTTTGTTCATCGAATTATTTATGCCTTTCTTTTCCAATTTCTTTCGTGATTCCAGGAGAGATTCCAGGAGAGAATATTCCATGAATTATAAATCCTGTCATTTTTTTTTTATATTATTGAGTATTTTTTTCGAGGTGAATGGTCAATTGGTGTAATGAGAGGGAGTAGTTGTATGAGTAGTTGTAACAGTTTTTTCTTCGGATTTACTGATCATATCGGGAATTTGTTGTCGATCCCTGAGCGATTTGGAGGAAATCCCAAGGGATTATTATTTTTTTAATTTCATTTTTATGTCATACGTGAATTACAACTCGTTTCCCACCTTTCACACGTTTTCTAGGTTTTGTGAACCCTATAATAGTGTTGGGAATTGGTCGATGAGTAACCAGGGGAAACCAAGGACACATTCCGTTTTGCCTCGGTAAAAGTCCAAAAAGTCTGCCTGAAAATGGTTTCCATAAAAAATTCAACACAATTACGCATTAATTTTTTTCGGTTTTTTCTTGTCGATCTCTCATTCGAGAAAAATCCGGAGAAATTATTCCACCGTTTGAGGATTTTTATTTATTCCAATTAGCACTGGAATGTGATTTATTTTTAAGGAGTTGTTATGCGGAATTATGATTATGATTTTCCTATGATTTTTTGCTATTCCATTTTTTATCAATTCTTTCACTCACGGTCTGTATTCCGGGTTACGAGGCCTTTTTTTTTATTGATTTCACCACTCCTTCGATATTGTGTGAAGGTAATAAAATAGTCGAATAACTTTGGACAACAGATTGAATTTATGAATTCCCTACGAAAAAAACTCGTGAAAAAAAATTTTTTTAATTAAAAATTATTTTCCAAAACGAGAAAAATCGAGAAAAAACGATTAAACAATTTTTATAATCAATTTCATCACGACAAAGTCGACCCATTTTACCTAATCCAGTAATTTTCATGAGTAATTACCCAATTCTGGGAAATTTCGAGTGAAACTTCAGTTGGGCTCATCGACAGCTTATGAATTTCTCAATTGAATTTCAAGTACCTGGGTAATTAGCCCCACGCGGTGACAATTGTCCTAGATATGATAACCTAGATAAAATATCAGATGTAATGGATTACGAAGAGACAGCATCTGCTCAACTAGTCTTCACAATTCACTTCATTCACGGTTGAGTAAATTCATGACTCACTTTCCCCCATCGCCTCATATTTTCCCCCCTCATTATTTCTTCATAATAATTCTCACGTATTTTCCAGATTATTTTTCAGAACAAAGACTATCCGAATCTCAATTCCGATTCTCATTTACTTTTTATAGTTCAACCTAGATTGCTGTTATCACTTGGAAGGATTAAACATCTGTTCCCTATTAGATTTCTCTGGTATTTCTATTGACTTGGAGATCAATGGATCTATTCACGGTTTCATATTCTTTTTGGTTTATGAGTTGTTTTGAGTGGCCATCGATTTTACCTTATCGAAGTAGCTGTGCATCTGTTGCTGAGATTTATCCAACCATGGAGTAAAAGGATGTAGAAAATTTCGACTTCAATTCTACCGCCTCCATCCATAAAATTCGATAAATATATAAACAATTGACATAGTTCTTTAATTTTCAGAGTCATTCTCTGATCAATTAGTAATTTATTTTTCTATTCATCGTTGCTTTCTGCAAAAATGAGACTGAAAAACACTGACACGAATTTTATTTATTTATCATCAATGACGAATGCTCACTAAAATCAAAGATAATAATTGAAAAGCGGCGAAATTAATTACCCCAGAAAACACAAAGTGTTCAAACCACAAAACCTTGTATGTAATAATGCAATAAATCATGGAGTTGATTACGAGCGAAATTATACAAAATCTCTAATTTTACGGAAATGAATAAAATGTGAATTCATGTAATTTCGTGTGATTGATTTAATTGACGTAATTTCCGCGAATAATTGCTGGTAATCAGGCTATTTGTATTTATGATGTCGGCTCGAGTGGGGGGTAATTCAATTAATACTTGTGAGTAAATATTGAGAAAGGGGGAGAGAAGTGAAAGCGGAGTGTATACTTTAATGTTATCGAATGCAATGAACAAAAGATGTTTTATTAACAAAGGATCGGCATTATTCCCTTTTAATCCACTTCACCCACCCTAAAGTCCTTGTCCCTATTGATTATATAATGACGATATTCCACCGCAATTACTAAATAATTAATCAACTCACTACAAAATTAACATCGAAATTTGACAAATCATTTTGTAGAATAATTCTGATAATTTATTCCTCAAGAATTAAATCTGTAATCCACACTGATTTACTCTATCAATTAATTATTAAATTATTAAATGGAAATATTTAAATGGAGATATCTAATTATTTCTATTAGCAATAATTCGTGTTGGATTTTGAACTTGATTTCAATGCGATCTCTCTTAAAATATAAAATCCCAGACATAAATCATCACCACTTAATCCCCACCTAAAATAAAAATTCAAACAGCTACAAACATATCACGCAATCCATTTGTTTAATTGTTCAGTGGATTCGCAGTTGAGTTGCACAACGATTAACAACCCGGAGGTGAAAACAAAGGGTTCAACCATGGACAATATTACGTACACACGTGTACAATTGAGTGCAATAAGACAGTTGAAAAAGAGAGATTTTAAAATGAAAGAGAAAAATATAGCACTCATTCTTTATCTCGGAAAGGTAGAGGAATTGCCAGCTATTTTTTTTTTTTGCGTTGGGAGTATCCGACGTTCCTCAATACTCGTATTAAGAGCGAGAGTTCAACTTTTACTCTGAACAATAACGTAACGCTTGAGTCTAGGGTAATGGGGAAAGAAAATTGAAGAGTTTTATGGTTAAATACGCCATAAATTTGCCATAAAGAAAACGGAGATAGATAGGGAATCGAGTGCTGAACAAAGACTTCTGCTTCCTTGAGGACCTTGAAGACGTGTTCTTTACGAGAGTTATTTCCAAAGCCTTTCCCTCGGCCTGAGGAAGAGATCTTCAGATATACAAACAGAAATAAAACGGTGGATACTTGTTTTTGCTTCGTGGGCGGATGATTCAGAAGTTTCAATACATACGTCACCACAACTTGCTCAGAATCCTTATGATTCCAATGGAAATTGTTATTGGAAGTGTCTTTGGAAAGCTGATCACGTGGAGCCTGTTGAAATGGACAGCCAATTGCGAATCTCTTTCGTCAGATTTTTGTGTCAATCGTTTTATTGAGAAATATCGGATTTTTTTCTGCTACGGTAGAGAAAACCGATTATTTTTAAATCTCTTGAATATTTTTAACAATAAGTTAATTTCTCGCGTTGAATATGCAATCCTGCATTCTCTGATTCACGAATGATTTAATTCTGAATCATTCCAACACTATGATCTGAGTTTACAATTATAGACATTGCTTAATATTACCTCATGCTAGGAAAACGAAACGAAAAATAGACATTCAAATGAAAAAATGTACAATTCTTCTGAATTTTCTTTTAGTGTCTGGAGCAGGAACGTCATTTGCTACGGAGAAGATTGGAAGAAGCTAAAGGTGAGAATGAGGCACATGTTCTGGAGCTTCAGGCTGATGTGGAGACCCTGAGGAGTCAGTTGGATGAGCAGAGTGAAAGGGCTAGAAGGGCTGAGAGGGAACAGGCGACTTTGGTCGCTGAATTGACTGCTCAAAATACGAGGCTAGCTGATCAGCTGAGAGAAGCAGCTAAACAAGAGGAACAGCTGTTGGCTGAGGTGAAGGTACTCAGGGAAAAATGCGCCGTCAGGAATACATCACTTCAGGATCATGTCAGCAGTTTGGAAATTCTCAGGGATGAGGTAATCCTCTATTTTTACATTGACAATTTTCCCAGTAACTCATTAACTTATGCCTGATAAATCGAGACGAATTCAAATCCAAAAATCATTATTTATTCACACAATGCATTAATTTAAAAAATATCATTTCTTCATCAAGATGTGCCAGAATTTCATCACGTGATTCTCAATAATTCATGATTATTTCGCAATAAAAAATTATGAAATCAAATTGAAAGAGCGAATTGGAGGAAAAATCCACGATTTACCTCCACTTTGTCTGTTATCTTTTCGTTTATTGTGTGTCAAAATATTTGTAATGACTTTCAGGTGCAATTTGTATCAGCACAAAGAACAGAATTGGAAAGGCGATCGTTGGAGCTGCGTGAGGAAAGAGCTAGAGCTGTGGCAGCCCTGGAGGAAGCGGAGGAAAGGGCTGCAGCCTTGGAGAGACTCAGCCATGAAGCGGAACACCGAGCTAAACTTGCCGAGCAAGAAAGGTAAACACCTCTTTCAACTAACAATAAAAATTCACTTGCGAAATCCATAAAGGGCGATAAGTCGCTAATTCGTGATTTTACAGACCTAAAAAAATTTCTTTCCGGTCTGAATTCCTCGAAACATTATAACTTGCGCTAGATCTGTAATAAACGAAGTGGTAAACTAGGATAAGTCCATTTTTTCCCTGATATAAAATGATATCGCAGAAATGGCGGCCTAATTTCCACTTTTAATTAAATAAAAATTAATACATCAATTGACTTTTCTAGTAAAATCAATTTTCGGAGTATGGGACAATCGGTGATTGATTTTTTGGGTGGAAAAAATTGTGTTATCGCTCAAATGATGGGAATTATCTAATCGTGATGCACGTGAAGGACTGATCAATATTGGCGTTGAACGTTCAAATCGAACGGTTCGTGGTGACCACCTACGCGGTGGCTCTAAACTTTTACGACCCACACGTCGAGAAAACGTGATTCGCCGTGAGGTACTCGTGCGAATCATCGAGTTCCGGCATTCATCGCTGACTCGACCCACGTCATTTTTTCAAATTACTCTTGACATTGTAGAGCTCTAAACAACGTGAGAACTAAAATTAACATCAACTCATTAAACCAATAATCACAAAATCCCTAATCAATCGATCTAAATACCACAATTAATTGAGGACGGATTAAAAAAGTTACCCTGGCATCATGATCTCGCAGAGATAATTGAATTTGTGTTCAAGTTTAAAAGGGAGTCTTAATTGAATTAACAATTAAATCGTATTTGCAATTGTAAAAAAAAGCTGTGGGTTAAAATCGGATTGAATCGAGAAAAGGGAAAAACCTCTGGAAAAATTGATAATCGCGAAATGATTCGATCGGATCGCTGGAGGAATAAATCTGAGATAAAATTATTGTTTTAATTAATTAAACAGAGATGACCTAGCAGCGGCTCTAGCTGCGATCGAAGCACAGCAGAGAGGCAGGTCTGGATCGATACACAAGGCACCGAGGTCATTGCAGGCGGAAATGGAGTGCGAGGTGAGCGGAAGTTCACTTGGTGAACCAGAGGACATCAGGGCGGAAGTGGCGAGGGCGTGCAAACGTCTCCGAGAGCTGAGTACACAGTTGAGACGGGGTGAGGACGACTCAGGACTCCAAAGTGACTGCGACGAGTCTATGGTCGTTATCATGAATGGCTCCGATACTGAGGTAATAAATTATTTATTTTTATAATTAATATATTTATGTGGAATATTAATGTGAAATAATTGGACAATAATTTATCTGAATTAATCCATTAAAAATGCAATTTTATTCGATATTGAAATTGTATTCATGAAAATGATTCAGTGAATGCAGAAATATTAAATAAATAAATAACTCCATTGTTTATTGAATTTTGTTTGTAGGGTCCTGGAGTACTTTCAGATCTTGTCGAGGAGATTTACAGTTTGGCCTTAACCGGAAGAGGTGCGCCAGGTGAATTAAATCTGGCAGTTGAACTCCACAGAGTGACGGAGGAGTTGGATCACACTAGACAGCAATTTAAACAGACCCAGGAGGAATTAAAGCGTCGAGGTGAGGCCCTTCTTGACACAACGAGTAAATTGAGTGTCTGCGAGGCTGAATTATGTGGAGTCAAGGAGGAACGTGATAGAGCACGTGGAGACATTGAGGACTCTGAGCTTAACAGAGACGAAGTGATTGCCCAGGCTTATTCAGTTAGGGATCAGGCTGTTGCCAGGAAGAATAGGGCTGAGGTGGAATTGGCTAGGACGAGAATAGATGTACTCCAGGTCAATAGTCAGCTGATGGAGGCAATACAGCAGAAAATTGAGCTGAGTCAGCAACTGGAGCAATGGCAGATGGATATGCAGGCTCTCATTGATGAGCATGTCAAGAGTAAATTGACACCCTCTAGTCCACAGCTCAATGGCAGCTGTGGGGGAGATAGTCCGGATGTCAGTGCTCCAGCTAGGAAAAAGAGAAGTACTGGCAGCAGTAGAAAAATGTTTGGACTTTTCTAATTTTGTGATTTTAGAGGACTTTTGTACTTACGTATTATTCTCTACGGTTATACAGTGGAGAGGGAAAAATGAGTCAGTGGAAATTATGGAGTCGTGGCTGTTTATAAAATGGAGTGTTTTTTTTTGTTGATTAATGAAAACGGTGAGGAGGTTTATCAATTGCATTTTTTTTTGATACTCTTGGGTCGTTTTATCTTCGGAAAATGCTAGAGATTTTAAAACTGTTTTTATGAAATGTGGGTTCTCTGCAGTGTATGATTTTTGGGACCATTTTGTCAGCTCATAATGTAGAATTTAATAACGATCGAACTATCTCCCACGAATGATCTCTAGGAAAATTGAGATATGTTTATCAGAGTAGGTGATTCTGAATGTGATTTCAGATGTACATAGTGTATGTTGAATGACTAGTAAAGTATTTTATCATGTGCTTAATACAGATTATTCTGTTAGGGTGAAAATTGACTATGCAAGCTCCGTCCGCATCGAAAAATGTGACTTAAATGAATTTTGAAAATATTTATATTGTAGGGTAATTGCGACAATCATGTATGCCATGATTCATCAAAAAAAGAAAGAAAGGAAGACAAAACGAATTTTTCCTTTCTTTTTAACGAACATTTGAAAGTGCAATAATTTTTATTGGATTTGAGTTGTGGGACGTATTTTTCTTCTGTCTCCTTTTTTTTAGTTAATCTACTTCCAGAGGAAAAATCTTTCAGAACTTCATCTCAAATTTTCTAATCTATCGTAGAACTCCCATCGAATTTTCCCAAGTGTTCGTTTTAAAAAAAAATACAAAGCATTCTATTAGATGTTGGGAATCGTTGCAAAAAAAAAATTGTAATGTTTTTGAAAATCAGTGACATATCATTTAACAATGACAAATGTAAATAGAATCATTTTATCTCCATCATTTGAAGGAACATATGAATAAATTAATTTTATTCACAGAATTTCCTTGATATTTCCATATTATTCCTTTTCTATAATTTACTCCTATAATAATATACAAATGAACCGTCTACCGAGTTCTCTTTGAAAACGTTTTTCATGAATTATCGATCGATCTCCCCGAAGACGACGTCCATGGTACCAATGATGGCGACGATATCAGCGAGGAAGTGTCGAGGGCCGATTTCCTGGAGTGCTGCCAAGTGTGCGAAACCTGGTGCCTTGATTTTGCAGCGATAGGGCTTGCTGCTGCCATCACTCACGAGGTAAACTCCGAATTCACCCTTAGGAGCCTCGATACATGTGTAAGTGGCACCAGGTGGCACCTGGAAGCCCTGACTGAAGAGCTTGAAGTGATGGATGAGTGCCTCCATACTTGTTTTCATCTCCTCACGACTGGGTGGCACTATCTTGTTGTCGTCCACTTTAATTTCACCAGCTGGCATTTGATTCAGACACTGCTCGATTATCCGGAGGGATTGTCGCATCTCTTCGACACGACACAAGTACCTGGGCAAAAAAAAATAACAGGACGCATTATTAAATTTGTGAACTCAAGTAATTTCAAATTTCTTTGGCATTGGTATAAATATTTTCACATATTGATTAATTAAATTATGTAATCCTTAACATCAATACTTCATCCATTATTGAATATTAATTAATAGAATCATTTTGTAAATTCAAGGAAAAAAATTAATATTATGATTACCTGTCGTAACAATCTCCCGAAATTCCAATGGGCACGTCGAAGTCAACAAGATCATAAGCATCATAAGGTGCAGTCTTCCTGATGTCCCATTTGAATCCAGATCCACGAAGCATGACACCACTGAATCCCCAGTCGAGGGCCTGCTGTGCAGTCACAGTGCCCACATTCATAGTCCTAGTCCTCCAGACGGTATTCCTCGTCAAAAGATCCTCAACCTGATCGATCTGAGCTGAATACTGTCGGGCCCACTGATAAATATCATCCATTATCCCCAGAGGAAGATCTTGAGACACTCCACCAGGACGAACATAAGCTGCATGCATACGAGCTCCACTAACTCGTTCGTAGAACTCCATGAGCTTCTCACGTTCCTCAAAAAGCCAGAAAAATGGTGTCAAAGCTCCAATATCCAGTGCATGAGTTCCAATTCCCATAATGTGATTGAGGATTCGTGTAATCTCAGCAAACAATGCTAAAAATTATTTTTAGTTGTTCAAATTATTCGAATTTGAGATCAATAATTCCCCGGGAAAATTAATTACAATCTCAACTTACTCCTGATGTACTTAGCACGCAGTGGCACCTCGATATTCAACAATTTTTCAATAGCCAGGGAGAAGCACTGCTCATTACACATCATGGAGACATAATCCAGTCGATCGAAGTAAGGAAGTGCCTGCATGTACGTTTTATACTCAATGAGTTTTTCAGTGCCGCGATGAAGAAGGCCAATATGTGGATCAGCACTTCTAACATACTCTCCCTCAAGCTCGAGTACCAGACGAAGTACACCATGAGCAGCTGGATGCTGAGGTCCAAAGTTGATTCTCGTGTTCTTGACATTTTTCTCAAGCTGCGGTGGTTTCTCCGCAGGTGGCATGTATTTCCATTTGATTCCATCATTGGGGACCATCAGAGGTCCATGAAACTGCTTGACATAGTCCTCATCTGGGTACCAGTGTCCCGCATGCCTCTGAGGACTAACCAATTGCCAATAAATAATCAAATAACAAATGACAATAGCAAGTGCCCACTGTCGAGGTTATATTGTTATATATTATTGTTACATAACTCTCGTCAATTGCCTCCGATTTTTTCGATGGCTTTGTTTATTGACTTACTTGCAGGCAATTAACGCCCCGGAATTCTGCAATAGGATCTTTCCATCCGGGACGAATGCCCCGGATTTCTTCAAAACTGTCCGGAGAACACCCGCGGCCATCTTCTACCTTAGATGGCCAACAATGCGCAAAGGGATTATTTCCGGTTGCGCATCACGGACAGATATTTAAAAAAAAAGTAATTGGCACTGAGAGAAAAATATCAATTTGATGGCAGAATTAAATTAATTCAGAAGTAACATTTTTTTCTTAATGCTAAATTCGTGTGTTTTGAGGATTGCATTGAATTATTACGTAAGTGACATATATCATGCACTTGATGTATTTATAGTCTCGACGCCATACGCATAGGCATAAGTCGATGTCGGTTGGTCCGTTCAAAAGTGTTTACCGCATTGATTCTAACAGTCACACTGACAAACTCATCGATCAAGGCGTAGAACAATGGGTATTTTGACATTTCATAACGTCAGACCCTAGAAACCCGATCAATCAAGCATATCAAAATTCTTACGAGTCTCCGAGGATCTAATAAACCCCCGTAAGTCATAAATTCCATGAATTCATCTGCATTTAACCTAAAAAAAAAAAACAAAATCCGGCTCCGGTATTTCATGTCATTCATTTTATTTACTTGGAGTCATTATTTTTATTTTTATTGACCACAAATTCTCTCTTTGTAGACTGAATCTTCTACTGAGTGCCTTTTCCAGTGACTTCTGTGGAGTACCTGCAAATGTAAGTCGAAAATTGTTTGCATGATTGATAAATAATGTCTGCAGGTTTTAAACCAATGGCCAATATTCATCTCCTTTATTAAAAAATATCTTACACTTTAAATAACATAATAGCAAATAAAAATTGCGTTAATTCCATAATTATTTTTTTCCCTTTCATATCGTCTAGTCTGCAAAAAAAGTAAGCAACGATCTGAATGTTTCTCTCAATAATTTCTGACTCTGTCTCGCTTTAATTGTGTAATTTGTGTAGGTGTTTGCTTTCAGTACTCAGTATAATTAATTCGGTATTTGTTTCCTTTTATTTATGTGCATATGTTAGTGTTATTATGTAATGTTCCTTCAACTATAGGTCGTGTTATGCAAAATTTATCCCAGTTCAGCGAGAACTGAGTCGAGGTCCTCTTGGAGGGATAGGCTTGCCTCACGCTGTTTCACAAGGTCGTCCTTCAGTCGGTCCACTTGAGCTTTGAGCAGATAATTCCCTTTCTTCAGGGATGACATTCTTCCCTCGTGCTTTTTCACGATTGACTACAATTTAAGTAATCGAAAATTGAATTGAAATAATCGAGAAAGTTAACAATTATTCCCATCCAAAAAATATCGACAAATTCAAAAGACGAGTGTACCTGCAAGTGATTCTTTCGGTCCTCTGGTTCATCATCCTCGTCGTCACTCTCGGATTCCTCCTCCTCAGACTCCTCAGACTCCGATTCTTCCTCAGATTCACTCTCCTCTTCCTCCTCCTCCTCTTCCTCATCCTCAGCATCTTCGTCGTCTGTATCTCCCATTAATTTCGCCATTTTATCAACTTCCTTCTGAAGTCCTTTATACTTTTTCTTCTCCTCCTTCAGCAATTTTTGTTGCTGTTTTATCTGTTCTTTCAACGCGTGTCTTTCCTTCTTTGCATTCGCCGCTTTGTCCCTGGGGGGAAATCATTATTACTCCGAATTCCCACCGCCAAAAAAAAATTACAATATAAATCAAAAGCGGGGAGAGATTTTTATCGATAAAAATTCTCAATTTCTTCTTGATTCTGAGAAAAGAACAATCGACTCGAGAAATTTATGATAAAGCTGTTCTGTATTTACTTGAAATTCCTGATTTTTGTATTGAGCAATTTAATCTCCCTCTGCAACCGCTTTTCAGCTTGTGCCTCGGGATCCTCATCCTCATCCTCCTCCTCCGATGATTCTTCTTCCTCCTCCGACTCACTCGGTGTCTTTTCCCCCTTGTCAATGCTCTTCTGCGATGCTATTTTCGCGACATCCTTGGCACTTGGACATCCTGCCAATGCCATTCCTGAAACATCGTACCACGCGGCCTCTGGACTCTCTTCTGGGTATTCTATTATGGGCTCTGGCCAGTCCCAATAAAACTCTGACAGGAAAGAAGCAGATTAATCAAGCAGAAGCATTAGCTCGACGTTTTTATTGCTCAGGATTAGTGCGAGTTAGCAGCGAAGAAGATTATTAATCGGTAAATCCAGTTAATTCAAGATATTATATAATATGAAGAGATTATATTTTTCTCTTCTCCCTTTTGGCATTTGACGTCTTAAAAACTCACCAGCCTTCATACGTCTCTCCAAATTAGCGTACATCCTCTTCATCTCCTCAAGTTCAATTTTCGTTTTGTCCCTCTCCTCGGCGACAACAGCAAAGTCTTTCTCCAATTTCTCCACATCTTTTCTCGCAGCCTCCGCCTCTTTCTTCAACGATTCCTGAATTTTTTCATCCTGTTTCTTGTGTTCAACAACATTTTGTTGGAGTTTAGCTCGTTCCAACTCCGCCTCCAAGTTCAGAACCCTCGCCTAAACGTAAATTAATTGATAACAATGAGGAAGACATTACCTTGATAGAAAAAGGGTTATTCTAATGAAAAATGCAATGACAAAAGCAAAGTAGCCCCTAATCTACCTGCAGCCTCTTATTATCTCTTTCCAGCGCTTCCTTATTTCTCAATTCCAACGCAAGCATCTGTTTGGTACTCTGCAAATCATCCCTTACAGCGTCAATATCATCCATCTCATCAGGAACAGTCTCAGCAATATCAGGTGCTGCCTCTTTCCTCTGTATTTGCTCCTCAATGGTCAGTTGTCGACGAAATTTCCTCAGTCCCTCGAGCATTGGCTTGGAGCGATCATTAGTTTTAACGCTCTTTAATTTTATTCCAGTTTGAATTTGATGGAGCAGTTGATTGTGCATGTTCGACTTTTCAGATTCAAAAACGAAGTGAGGTTGATCTAAACAGCAACAGATAAATCAATCACAAAATTAAAACTCAAAAAAGTGTCTCCTGGTCTTGGAATTTCCCTGAAAATGTCCTCAACCACTCGTCAGGTGAATACAAACAGCAATTAGTTTTTAATCCCCCGTTGTTAATTGATATTTCAATTTAACGAGTCCTTTACCTTGTGGATCAGCTATGACTTTGCTAACTCTTTCGATGATCGGTGCACTTCTATCGTTGCACTTGACGTGCTTCAATTTCTTTCCACTCTCCACTTCCTTCAATATGCACGACCAATCAGGTCGTTTACGTGGCCTCGATTTAAGCAGCTCCAATGTTTTTTGGGCTTTCTCACTGATCGGTGGTAGATTCTTCAGTTCGGGCACAATTTCTCTCGATGGTGGTGGTGGCGGTGGTCTCGGTGGCGGTGGCGGTGGTATTGCCGCTCTCGATGAGCTTTTTGATAGTGTCGGTGCACCTGTTAACATTTGTAAACAATGCTAAGGTGGAATTTGTATTAGGGGCGATGGGGAAATGATCACTGACAAATTGAATTCAGAACGCCGGGGCTAATTTAGACTGGGGGGTTATTTGTGGATGGTGCCAATGATCGGAGATTTGTAGAAGGGATCTAGTCAATTCAGTCATCGGTGATGAGTGGAAATTCAAGTGTCATCCAGCTGAATATTTCATTACAGTGAATTTATTCCATTTCAATTCTCAATTGGCTATTTTTTCCAAGTGCTAAAGCTATTCGAGAAATAATTAAAATTTTTAATCTCTCGAATTCCTCGAATGATTTATTTTTATTATGACGCAGCGTAACGAAATTTTTTAGTTTTCAATTAGATTTTAATCACATGTTCCTGTCTATTCGATAATTTACCTGTGGTGCTTTCACTCTTCGATATTGGCACTCTGGTATCAGTGCGTGATCGAGATTTATCGATACGTGTTTGTCTCTCCAATGGTGACTTTGAACTCGTCGACTCGACCCTTCCATTTTCCCCCAATTTATTTGATCCTTTGTCTGTGCTTGCCTTTGCTTTATTCGTCGATGGTTTGATCGTTGTACTGCGTTCGCTATTTGGTTGAGCTGGTATTATTGTTATTTTACTCTGTTTTCGCGCCTGTGGCGGTGGTTCTGTTGGTGCCACAGCATCCGCAGGTTTTGGAACACTCTGCAATATCACAAAATCATCCTGCTATTATTTCAAACAAAATCTTAACTAGTTTATCCACCGATTCCTTCTCTTCTTCTTTAGATCAACACACGATTCAATTACCAGAAGATAAAAAGGATCAGTAATTATGATATTTATTGACGATCTCTTGATCCTCGTATTTCTACTCTGGGAATTTCCATCGGATGTCCATCTGTTTCGGTAGATCACTCCAGAGCTCGTGCCAGGAATATCCATTCACAAACTCAACTAGAATAGAAACTAATCAATCGAAACAATAGATGATTCACGCCTATCGAAATCCCCGAAGACATTGGACACGAGACAAATCGATCGCCTTTAAATAATCAATTTTGCCATCTCTATCGAATTATATCATAATCCCCCGCGATTCATCTAATGCATCATCATTTATTTATTCTCACCGACAATTTAATTGACGCGTGATTAATTGACATTTAATTTCAATGCAGCTGCAATACGATACGTTATCACCGAAATTACGAGTAAATAATCCTAAGATAATACTAGCAAACTTGACATTGTCAGTAGCTTTAAATTAGTTAGAATCTCACGTGGGTGCATAATCCAGCAGCCAAAAAGTCTTTCTATTTATTTTCAGTTCCTCGTGGTGAGCGATACAAATGTTTGTAGTTAAAAATGAGAAGAAATTAAGCGTCGTCTTCATTTTACTCGTGTACCGAATGAAATTGTATTTTTAGAGATTTTTCACGCTCCATCTGTGACGTTTGATGATTTTTAAAATGCAGAAAACATTAACATCTGGGGTCGGTGGAAACTCGGGTAAAAATACAAGTGACGTTTGATAGTTTGTAATTTATACTCTTGGACATTGAGTCTTGTTCAATGCAAAAGAATTTTGAGGTGGAGTGAGTCCTTTATTGCGCGCCAATTTTCATATTTACGTTGAGGTTGATGATATTACAAAATTTGTGGATTCATACGTTTCGGGAATTATTTGTTCGTCTTGTTAGACTTGTCAGCCTTGACGTCAATTGTCATGTTTATCCGATATTTAACATTAACTGGATTAGATCATTTTCTAAATTGAGTGGTGATGATGCCAGAAGGTGTTTTCCAAATAATTTTATCATTTTTGTTGATATTTATTCGAGGTATTACATTTCGTTTGCATCCACAGCGATTTATTCTGCATTTGCAATAATTTCGTGAATTATTATTCTCAAATGAACGAGTAGACACGAAAAAATCCTCTTAATTCGCACGAAATACGAGATTAAGAACGCAGTTGGGAGCATGCACGGTAGATATTTGAAATAGACCCCGGAGCTTGAAATAATTCGTGACCCAAAGTCCCATCCCATCCACTTTTCACATTTCATCTGCAGCTCATCCTCTTCCTCGTTTTCCATTCCCCCATTCTCCTCCACTTTCGCCGAAACCCCGCGAAATTTAATGTTCTCATTACCCCAGAGAAATAAACCCGAGAAAAAACAGAGTCATCGAGATCCACTGATTTTTCTAAAAAAAAAAAAAGAAAAAAATCCAGTCGTTCCCTTGATCTTTGGATCTAAAAAAAGTTTTCAACGTGGCATACTGCCAGTTCCCAATATTCATAAACAATTAATCAACACTCGAGTCTCAGTTGTCTGTAGATTTTTATAAATACATGATAATTATCATTATAAAAACAATATCAGAGAGATTACCTTCAACGTAACTTTAGTGAAGGCCGGAGCATCATCAGCGGGTTTTGATTCTCTTCTGTTCAATGTCCATGGAGCTGTAGGCATGGGCAACGGATTGGGTCCATCCTTAACCCATGGTGGCCTGAATGTCGTCCTCTGGGGTTGCTGACCCCCGGCCCCCGGCATTATTCCCGTCAATTAAAAATATTCACCCAAAAAAAAAATCCCGCTTCACTGACAAACGCCTCAGCCTCAACCCCGGAATGTCTTCTTTGATCTCCAATTAGCACAGGATCATTCCCATCACGTCAATTGAATGATCAGACCAATATACCAAGACAGCGACGAAGATGACGCTGCACAGGTGTGATTGCACCTCCTGATTGTATCGATCCAACAGGAAATTAATCAATTGCCGACGTAAACGATCCACTTGTCCCACCACTTGATCCACCCTCACCCCAATTTCTTCAAGTTCTAGGTTTATAGGTGATCCTTTGACTATCCTCTGACTATCCCCTGACTATCCTCTGAGGATCCCTTTGAACCTCTGGTCCACGATGACTTCTCCGTTGGCTACAACCTACCCTCGTAAAAATTCTGAATTTTCTCGTGTCCGGGAAAGATTGAGAATCTGGATGAACCAACCGCCGTCACTGAAACCCCACCTCCCCGCCACCATCTCAGGTTCGGTCAAAATGTTGATATTTTCGGAGTGTGACGTCACGCGACGAATGAACAAAAATAGATTACACACTGAATGCTTCTGGTACGCCAGCAGTATTCAGAATTATGCTCATCTTTCTCAGATTTTATCGACAGCCATGAGTCCCTCCTTGTTGGTGAGATTATCGAGATTTTAGGCTGCATCACAATACCCTTGTGTTTACAATGGTGATTGCATAAGCATTTACCAGTACAACCAATCGCTGGAGCTGAGATCGTTTTGGACTTCCTGTTATTTCTCAAAATGTGCTTTTCTCATTCTGCACTTGCTGGCTCGAATCATATCAAATTACGGAATATAAGTGCACGAGTATTTCCAAATAACACAATGCCTCTTAATCATTTATAATTGGCATTAATTCGATTGATCGATAATTCGATTTTTTTTTGTCGTTATGGGGATGACTTTGCGAAGTGGTGGACGAGAGCTAATGAATTATTTCTGGTATTTTTAATGGGAAGACTGAGACTAAAGTGGCGTGGGTTCTTTTCGAAATGTTCTAGCTCTTGATGTATTTAAATCTCTAGCAATCTCTATTGAGTGTTCACCACTTCGTTACAGATTTCTCAGCTTTAATGTTCAATGTTAGAGATAGAAAATAAAGAATCATGAATGAGTAATGATGTGAACTAAATGATCAGGGTTGGCCGACTCGCAGAGAGGCGCTATCAATTAGCAGCTCAGAAGCGTAATGCAACAGAATTGAAATTCGAGTATTACGTACAAGCAGCGAATTACTTTGAGCGTGAATGCGGAAAAGCGAGGCAATTTAATTCGTGGAACGTTGACAAAGTGAAGCCAACGCACTGGGATAATATCAAAAGAACTGAATCACTTCACAGACGTCAGAGTCAACTTCAGGATTTGCTGAGGACTGAGGGTGAGAGTTATCAGCGTGAAATTGATGAATTAAAATCACGGAAGGAGTCGCGAAAGGAATTACGAAAGGAATCACAAAAGGAATCACAAAAGGAATCACAAAAGGAATTACAAAAGGAATCACAAAAAGAATCACAAAAGGAATCACAAAAGGAATCACGAGAGGAATCACGGGAGGATACAACACTTGAGGTCCTGAGGGAGAAGCTGAGGCAGAGGAGATCGGATCAGAGTCTGCACTATCCGAGTACTTTCCGAAGGATTCAATCGTACTTCAGCTATCCAACCAAGGCAGAGAGTTCGAAAGAAATAACATACCCGGGTTCAGCCGTATCCTCTCGAAAGAGCCTGGATAACACGAATCTTCGTGACAAGATGCAGTCGTCAGAAGAGACACACAGCCCACAGAGAAAGAAGACCGGTAACGAGGACTTTACGAATCTTATGGATCAGGCGAGCTTCAACGTCAGGCACCAGGAGTTCATGGACAATCGAGCGGCTTCCACTCGATCGAATTTTGGTATACCTGGACGAAGGGCTCGTGAAGGAAAGAATGAGAGCGATAACGATTCTCCTGGACGAAACTCGGCGTCATATGAGCGATCTGATCTCCTTGATCATGGATTGAATGGACAGCAGTCAACGGAGGGATGGAATCTGCCCAAAAAATTTGCTGAGAGATACGCCAAGAAGAGTCTTCAAGAGACAAATGTACGTGAGACTGGTGGACCGATCATCAAACCGAATGAGAGGAGCGAAGACAAAACCGATAGTTCAGGGGAACTCGATAGTTCAGGGGAGCATGACAGCTCAGGGGTACCTGAGACCAATGGCAGTCACGATATATCCCATGACAAAGAGGATTACATCGCCGAAAAGATGGCGTCCATCGAGCTCCATTCTGTAGATAACCGGGATGATAACGAATCCTGGGTGCCTGAGACACCCACCAATATGCTGATGTATTTGACTCATCAAGAGATGAAGAAGAAGATTGAGGACTTGGAGAGCAGGGAGCTCAAGGCTATTCAGAAACAATCCTGGGAGGAGGCTTTGCGTCTCAAGGACATGAAGAATCGACTGGAACTGTTCAGGGATAAGCAATTTTACTCGCGGGAGGATCTCAAGGTCGATCCTGAGCTCAGGCAATTGGCCCTGAAGAGCATTGAGTCACGCAGCAAGCAGCTGGCTAATCGAGAGCAGTTCTGTGTGCACTCGCAGATGTACAGGTAATTTGGAAATCATATATTATTACCGTGGAGATATCTCACTTCAATTATCTAGATCGATTTCATAGGGAGAACAATTCCTTTCGGTTTTTTATCGTATCATCGCTCATTCGGTCTTTCATCTCAATTTTTTAAACATCTTTTTCATTTTATTTTGAAAGAGATTATCTTTTTGATGTGGTAATGATTAATTCAAGGATGTAGGGAGGTTTTTGGGGTTGTTTTGATTAAAAAAAAATGAGGGAGGAATTGAACGAGGAAAATTCGTGGTCTCAATGCCAAGGGTTTGAGATTCATTGCGCAATAATTAAACTGATTCACTGAGTGTGTATGGGGTATGTATACACGAACCTCATTAGTACCCCGTGCCAAAATCACTGTCACAGCTCAAAGAAATAAAAGCCACTGGGCTTGTTTCTCAATAGAACACAAATAGGCGATCACACGGGCGTTCAATCGGCTTAACGAACTTATTCGATTCGGATCGTTATTCATTGAAAATAACGTGAGGTGGCTCCGGCCTTATTTTATTTTGTTAATATGTTTATTTTGTATGCAGCGAGGAGGCTAAGCTGATGTGGAACGTGTGGGCTGATGAGGACAAGAAACATTCCATCAAAGATGAAAAAGCTGAGAGGGATCTTCTGCTGCGTCAACTCGAGGAGGAGTGGGAATTGCTCCAGCAGGAGGAGAAGGAGAAAATTTTTTACGATTACATGCAGATAATGAACAAATCTTTCACGCAGAATCAGATGGATCTCATTGCTAAACTTACCAAGCAGAAGTTCTAATGCTTTTTTTTTATTTAGGTCATTTTAGCTCATCGAGTTTTGAGCTTTTTTGCGCTTTCTCGTTTGAGGGTGAAAGCATTTTTCATTCCATCACGTGCATCAATTTTAGATTCAAGAAATTTCGACTCAAGACGAATCCGTCCTTAAGAACTTGTAGGATAAAACTTGTAGACGACGATAGTTCAAATTAGTTGTCATGTTAATTGAATTAATTGAAGCATCTGTGCAGCGACATTTGTCATTTTTGCTTAATCTCAAAGGTGAAATTTTCGATGTGAACTTTGGAAATTTCCTGTTTGTCATTATCGTTTATTATTATCAATTTTGATATATTCATAAAATTTGATAGAAATAATATGGATGTTGTTAGTATTTGTAATAACGCAATACTATGATTTTGATAAATTAAACACAGCATAATAATTTATTGTTAATTATTTCTTCAGGATAAACCTACACGATAAATAAGAGTTCTCCAAAAAATCTATTCGAGTTACCATTAAGTCGACAGTCGATAAAGCAGAGACTTCAATATTTTCTAGCCTTCCGGTACAATTTCAGGGGAATCCCACGACAGATGGTGGTGCATGGACATTTAAACCAAAATATGCGCCGACAAAATGAAATTTCAGATGAGCAACTGAAGAAATAGTTCTCCGAGTTTTCCTCCAAGAGGATAATAATTCATCATCATGAGGAAAAGTCGACAATTTATGATAATAACATCGACCTTCCCCTGAAAAATTTCCAGCTCAAGGTATTCACGAGTGCCTGGAATTACAGTGATTTATCTAAAATCCTTGTGATTGTTTTATCTGCTGACCCGAATGAACTCTTCGGTTCTCCACAACCGCGAAAGCAAAAAAAAAAAATGCATTGTGCAAAATAAAAAAGAAAAGAAAGAATTCTAGAAGCGAGTGGAGTGACTTGTGGACAATTTTCCACTTATACATCCCACAAAGATAAAATTAGTATGATCGAAGTGGCACAGGGGCTGGATGTCTAATTTCCATGATGATAGTTGGGTCTCGCACGAGCAGAGGGAAGACATCAATGAGAATTTTTTATTCTCATTCTCGTTTGGGTGGAAACATTGATGGGTTTCTTTTGGCAATGGTTACCCAAAGGTGGGAGTGAAAAATATTGGGTTGGTATACGGTCGTGTGGCGTGCGTTCGTCATGTCCGGGACGTGTTATTATAGCCATCAGCTTCAGGGTTCCACCATCGCTACTTCCTCCAAGCCCAGGGTATATAATTTATTTTATTTTTTTTTTTCCTCACTCGCCTCCCGTCACTCCTAGGCTTCTTCAGAGAGGAGAAAATGCGTTTTAATTAACATAGCTGGCATCGTTGCATCCCTCATCTCCAGTCAAGTTTCACGGACCATTGCACGCCCATATACCACTACCGTCTTTGCAGATTACTTTACTTGGAAAAAAAATCCAGCGAAATTGGGTTCATTCGGAGGATCTAAAAATTGTTTATAAATACTTATCGGGAGATTTTCTCTGGCGATTCCCGAGGCTGGGAAAATAATTCAAATAATTTTTCTTTCGTTGAAATGACCCGTGACCCTGGCGCTCTCCTTTTCTCCAGGTTCTGGACTAATTTCTCTCTTCATCGTGTTCCCAATCGAAGGCTCGTTAAATAAACCTCAAAAAAATCCGCGAAATGTGGGATTCCCATAATTTTTTACGAAATTACGACATTTTGAATGTGAAAACTCAATTTTCATGTTTTTCCTAAAATTCAAATTTGAATCATTTTTTTATATTACCCAAGCGAATGAAACTGAACAATAATGAATAATACAATAATAATTATAATAATATTGTATTGTATTTATTATTTCTAAAATGATTTCGAGAATAATTTAATTTTCAATATCGATTTCATCTTTAATTATTAACAATGGAAATAAAAAAAAAGACAATTTCATGTTTACTAAAAATATTTAATAATCAGATGATTGTTTAAAATAGATTTATTTATTGATATATTTCAGTTAGAGTAATTTAAACCGGAAGTCGCAATGGCGCCACAAATTTCAACTCAATTTAGACCAATGAATTTGATAAAAAAGGGCTTTTTTCGAATATCGTTCACCTCGTGAGATGTTCGTGACTGCCGACAGCAAATGCAACGGGATTTGATGCAGGCTTGACGGATAGGCCGACTAATTTGGTCGGCTGTCATGACAGGGTGGCATGGCACGCCGGAAGACCAAATTAGCGGCTTTCAAACGTTATACGTGTGTTATTAGGTTTTGTGTTGACGTCGGGGGCTTGTTGTCGAAGAAGATTAGATTAAAGGGTCTTACGGATTGAAAGGTGTTATTGACTACTGTTTTGACAGACGGATATCTTACTCCATCCATTTTTCCCTCTCTCTGCCAATTTTTTTACTCAGGCGTTCACATCGATGAGATTAAAGGTATCCCTTTAAAAAAAAAATTAATTTAACATTTTTTAAAACCGGTTTATTCGATATATATATATATATATATTTATTTTTATTATTTATTCTAAAATTGAGGAACATTTTCATTTTATAATCTCTCTGATTCTAGCTGAGTGTCTGAATCTGAATGAAAAATTGATGTAAAAAATTGAAAAATGAAATGCAAAAATTTCTTAATTATTATTATGAATAATTACACCAACAAATTATATAATCAAATGAGAAAAATGTTTATCGATCTGATTATAGAGTAAATATTACCCCGTTTTTTGAATAATCTTTTAATTTTACAGGGAATTAATAAATTATTCAGTAATAATTGATTTATTATTATTTATTAGTGATGAATTATTGGGGTGATGTTATGAAACTTGAATATCATTTCGAATGACAAAAAAACAATTTCAGAGGATTAACAAATGTCGCATATATCATCGCCATATTAAATCATTTTTTTTTGTGGTGTTTAGGATGAAAGAAAAAGCGTCAAAGAAATGCAAACATTTATAATTGCGTAGTCGTTCGTCTCTTTTGTCGTCGGTTCTACTCCATAAATTTTATCGAGGTGGAAATATTTATTCTCTCTCTCGTTCAAGATTTTTCTTTTCATTTTGTACGTGTTAATTTGTCCTTTTTTTTTATTCCGGTGGAGGAGAGGGGGGTGGAGAGTCGCGGGGGCGTGTTCTAGGGATGAGCCCCTGGCATGTACATATATATAGCGATATATAATAGGATGAGGGGGTTATTCATATGAGAACCGGATAGAGTTGCAGTGTTGACGGATTAGCCACTCAATGTAATACTTTTTGTCCAACTTTTTTTTTTACGAGGGGAAGAACGATGTTTCGGAATTCTGGGGAAAAAGGGGCGACTCCTTCCGTTTGGGGGAAAGAAGCCAATTAACACTACATATGGACGACAGCTAGTCAATCATTTTTCGGGCACCGAGAAACACAAATTTTCTCGGTCACGGCTTTTCGCTCGTGTGACTCCGATAATTAGTGCATTAGCGCAAGACTGTAATTAATGCATTTTATGGTTCACCCGTGCTCCCTGATTTCTGGAATTTTTCTTTGTGGTAATCAGTCGATAATTAACCCTGCGTTAATTAAAGACAGTCAGAAATCAGATTTTTGGAATCAAAATCGATTTTTTGGAAATAAAAATTCGGGAGAAATTCAGGAGTTCAACAATTTTTTTTTTAATTGAAGGAAAAAATCGTGTGTTCTATATTAAATATTCAAACTTCGTTGGAAAATATGAAAAAAGGTGAGAACCTGTGCCCCTGATAAAATTCATATTATACCCCTCCGAATTTTCACTGAAACATCAAATCCCATGAGTATTTTTCCCCCGAATCAAATTCAATGTCGCTCTCCGCAAATTACCCCAAACAATCCCCGGAATTCGTCTCTCCTCCAATACTATTTATTATTATTTAAACCGACTAAAAAATGATTCCAATAATTAAAGAATAATGATGATGCGCAAATTATTATAATTCATCTCCTCATAATTCTCGCGATAATTCCACTTTTTTCACTTAACATTAATTTTTATTTCTCGCTGGTTAATTAATTCGCGGAAAAATTGTGATAAAATTGCGTTAAAACCTTCTGGAATTTTTCGTGCTCTATCTTAGGACTGGAAATCGCGAGTTTCTGCACGCCTTTATACTTTTAACAATCCAATATGGCAGAGTTAAACCCGCGTGTGAGCGATAACGAAATGAATAAATTTAAACCGAAACTTAGTCTCTCCGAAAGTTTCACTTTTCCTTTTTATTTAGCCACGACCCAAGCAGTTTTATTATCTCGGCTTTCATTCTTTCTCGAGGGCTCGTACATAACGGTAGGCTCTTGAATAGATATAGGCAACAGTATCGCTACCGTTTTACCTCGTTCTAGAGAAGAACACCCTCGCAAACTGTTTCACGCAAATTGCAAAAAAAAAAAAAACCATAACGAGTTTTCACCATAAAGTGTGTGTAACGACGCGCCGCAAAGATTGGACTCTCGTTTACCTTTAACTCATAATTTTTTGGAAATATTTTCTTAATTTTATGATGGAATAAATGTCCTGGGGAATACCGTATGATAATTATATTGGTGTGTAAATTATTTTTTGGGGGAGACTAGACCTCCCAAGAGCTGTGCCGATAGTTTCGCGGAATATATTCTAGGTGAGAATTTCGTTGCGATGGAAATTTGAGTGACTGCATTTTTTATGATGACAGTTTTTAATGAATATCTCGGTATCAAAGGGAGATAGCGATATTTTTGGTTATAAGTTTTCTGGGGAGAAAGGTTAGCTCTACAAAATTGGTCATTATGAAAATGTCAATATTTTTGTTCAATCACGAGATATCCGGGAAAATTCGTCTCAAAACCATGTGCATTTATCCAAGTTTACCATTTCGCTACGGAATTTGTTATTGCATATGGTAAAAATTACAAAAAAACAACAGTTTCCTTAAAAAAAAATGGAGCACTTTTGAAAGACTGGGGAAATATCAAATAAGAAAAATTAATGATTAAAAATAGAAATTCCTCGCACTACAACCCCCGGCACTGAAAAAACCCCGAAAAACCGGTGACCAAATATTTCTCTCGAATTTCCCTGAAACATCTACGTGACACTTGAAAATCCGACCGGAGCAAAACGAAACGTTTTACATCCCCAACACATCCACCCCCGGCCTCCCAAAAAAGGCATTTCACCCCAGGAAAACAACAGCAAAAACAGAAAAAAAAAATAGCGCGTCGTGGCGAGGGGCGTGTGGGGGTTAGAGTGGGTTGCAGCAGAAATAAAAAATCCCGAAAACGGAATGGAAAAAATAAAAGCCAAAAAAAAAAAGAAAGGAAGGGTAAAACAGGCAGAGAAAAAAAAATTGCATCGAGGGGGAGGTCTAAAAAATAAAACATATAGGAGCCACCAAGCTA